GCCACGGATGGCAGTGCTAGATGTCAGAGAGATGTTCTTAATGGTCGCCTTGCAGGAGGAGGATAAAGAGAAATTTGCTTTTATTTGGAGAGGTGTGCAGTACACCATTAACAGACTCCCACAGGGGTATAAACATTCACCCATGATTACTCACACCGGCACCAAGGATGCCTACGAGCGCCCAGGGGAGCAGCACCAACCTCAGCAGCAGGAGAGCTTTCTGATGTGAAACACATCAGAAGTCCTTGTCTGGGCGTTCCTTCACCTCTCTCTCACAGACCGCCTCTCTCTATATGAAACACCTAGGGCACTAGGCTCTGACTAAGCATACACAACCATATAGTTGTCAGGGAGCAGAAGAAATCGAGCGTGCTATGCAATCACCTCGGAGGCGGGAGGGCTGGGGTTTATCTGGTGCTTTTTTGTTTAGGAGGAGGAAGATGATGAGGAGGCCATAATGATATGCCCTTCATGGATATATTGAGATAGAAAACGCACACTGACTGTGACCCTGAGCGTGGATTTGGAGCATATTTCCAGGCGAGCCTGTAACACTGTAGTGTTCCTAAAAACTTGCTTTTCCCACAAAATGGCCTCTGCGACTAAGCTGTTTAGAAATGCAGTGTCATTTGAACTAAATAGATTTATGCCCTTATCACAAACCATTACAGGAAGCAATGCCTCTTGCACTTCGAACTTAGAGGCTGCATTGTAAGCAAAAAAAGAGAAAAGCCCTCATATGCTGGAGATATGCTGACAGTGGCATTTAGTTTTGCTAAGCCCTCGTTTGAATTTGGAAGCCTTCCTTCTGAACATTGAATGCTTTCACCTGTGGCCTTCTGCATGAAAAGCTCAGCAGAATTTTTTTGGAAAATCTGGTTCTTGGGAAGCAGCACTGATAAAACCTGTTTTAGAAGGAGACTGTTCTGAAAGAGGCCTTACTTTGGAGCTGTGGGTCCAGGCTCTGCTTGGGCCACCCCTCTGTGAAATGATTAATTGCTGCTGTTTTGCTATGTGCAGCCACAGTCGCTGCCAGGGTCTTCAGAACTTAAGAACAAGCAGGCAAAACTCTTGTGGCTGTTGGTCAGCATCACAGCAATACGTCCGTGTAAACCCTCAAGTTCAATACTGACCTTCCATTCTCCTTTTAATTTCTTCTCTCTGCTCCATGTGACACCCTTAGGACTTGACCAGTTCAGGACGGCTGAGCACGAGCCTGAGCGGATTACGTGCCCCCATGCCTGCCTGACCTTCAGCAGCTCCTGCTGCAGACTGCCACATGCCAGACCCCAGCCCATCATCCCAGGTCCTCATGGGCAATTCTTTGATTGTATACTTTTGTGTGTGCATGCAGTAACTATTTACATCCAAAGGCAGCGCGTCAGTGTGCCCAGCGCTGCTAGTATTTCATAGGCTTTTAAGCATGACTAATGGTTCCAGTCCTCTGCTCCAGCGAGGGAGCAGTGCCTTGGAGAAGCCAGATAGCAGCATCACCTTAAGACACTGGTGGATGCCCGGTCTGTGGGATTTCTTCTCTAGGCAATTATTCAAGTACAAGGTAGATCAGACTTCCTTAAGGGGAGCTGGCTCCTAATTCCACCATAAACTGGGGCTTTCAGGCCATGGGAACAACCGAATAATGTTATTTCTTGCAGCCCATGTCTCCATTATTCACTGTAGAGAAGGCTGCCGTAACGAGTTAACATCATCCCAATATACCCATAGCAGAAATCCCCTGCGCGTTGCTGACCAGGAGCTCAAGGATCTTGTTATTAATCTAATAGTTTTATTATCATGATAGCATCTTTGAGCCCAAAGCATATTGACAGATTCTGGTGGCAATT